GAGCCGTGGGCGGCAGGGCCGCCGCCCTTTGCGGCCGCCGCCCTTGCGGCCGGCCCGCCGCCGGCCGCAGCGCCGACGCCGGCGCCGGCAGGGGCCGCCCTGGGTCCTCCTCCAAAGTTGCCGCTGCCGAGGATGCTCAGCCCCCGCCGGAACCTCTTAGACGCGAGGAAGCTGCTGCTCTTGGACCGCGCGAACCGCGCCCGCCGCGCCAGCTTCTCGCTCGCCTGGCGCGACAGGTCGGGCATCTCGCTCGGCTTGTCCCCACCCTCAGCAAGCTCCACATCGCTGTCCGCGCCCTCGCCGCCGCTGTCCGGCCCCGCCGAGCTCTCGTCGCCTCCGTCGTCGCCGCCGGCGGCGTCGAGGTTTGGGAGGGAGTCGGAGAGGAAGCTGAAGGGGCTGATGATGCGCGACAGGGACGAGTCTGTCGTGTAACCCGAAGTGCTGGACGTCATCGATGCGATCACATCCGCCCTCGGCGCCGGGCTTGGCCCGTCCGGCGCTAGCGCGGCCGCCGGTGCAGCTGCTGCGGCGTCGCCCGACGCCGCGCCGGGCTGGTCCGCGGCCGCGTCGGACCCCGCTGCAGGCCCGGCGGCGGTGGGCGCGCCGGCGACGCTGCGGGCGAAGCGCTTCAGGCGCGCAGCCGCGACTGCCGCCGCGTAAAACGGGTCCCTCGCCGGGCTGCCGGCGCCCCCGCTGCCCCTTCCGCCCGCGCTGCCCCTGCCGGCGCCGCTGCCCCTGCCCCAGAAGCCGCCACCGCCGCTGCCCCTGCCGCCGCCGAGCGCGCCGCTGCCGCCGCCCCCCTCCTCTTCCTCCTTGCTCTCGCTGCTGGTGCTGCTGGCCTCGTCGTCCCTCTCCGCCCCCAGGTCTTCCCCATAATCCTTTGACAGATTCGAGCTCAGCTGAGTCAGCACTCGCTCGATCGCCGGCATCGTCAGCAGCTGCTCGATCGTCATGGCCCGCTTCAGAGACGCGTCCGGCGAGCGCTGCTGCGACAGCAGACGGTGGCACAGCCGGCCCCTGCCGCCGGCGTGGCTCGCGGCGGTGCCAAAGCTGGAGGCGCCGTCGCCGTCGCCGTTGTCATCATCTTCGTCTGGCGGGGTCAGCTCCGGCAGGTGGAGGGC